AAAGTAATCAGTTTTGATTTCAACAAAATACTGAGGAAGATTCTTACATAATTTTGGAAGGAGAGTTGTGAGCAGAATTCTAAAATTATTCTAAGATAAAGTCATAAGAAATTGTCAGACTTTCTATACTGTGACCACAGACCACAGAAAACGAGCAAGTGGACAGACTGGCAGCAACAAGACAAATCCCTGCAGCTGATATCATGACATGTGTCAGAGGTGTAGTTTGAAGTGCATGGGGGGCTGAATGGTACAAGGATAGGAGCTCCTTCCTGAAAAAAATAAAGGAGAAACTGGCGAATGGGAGCTGGAAATACCAGCGGGTCCTCTCCAGATTGCGTACCGGTTACATCAAGCTATCCCACAACATGGCAGGGGGGACAAACTTCCACATTCCCTGTGGAATTTGTACAATACATCTATCAGTTGAGCCCTTCTTATCAACCTGCCCGAATTATCAGCAATATAGACAGCTTCATGGCTTAGATTGCAGTCTACGAGACGCTCTTTGTAACGAGCCAAAAAGAGAGGAGGTTCTGCTGGCTTTCGTGAACGATTCCGGAATCTACAATCAACATGCGGACATCATGCTACAATGGCACGTTTTAACTATGCTACAGGGTGCAAGTCAAACGCACACTCTCTGCCTAACCTGTACGGTGTACGCGGAGATTTGAAGTATGTCTTCAAATCTACAGGCAAAAAGTGTGCGTCTGACTTTGCTCAAATACTGCGTGTGGCTGTGGAATAGTTCTAGCGACGTTTCATCACTACCTAAAGCCCCACGTTGCCGAAAACATCATTATAATGCTATATTCAGACTACAGTTTTAAAGCATAATAATTATCAACGAGAAGTATGTCACCAGCCTTATAACATGTTAAAAACTCTGTAGGTTGAATTAACCGTACGACACGCCTAACTATGACGTGGCTAAAAAGCTGGCACTGTCCATGATGATCAAGAGCAATTCCAGGCCAAACAGCTAAAAAATAATAATGTTTGACTCGGCCTTCGCCGATTTGCATGAGGCGTTGCATAATTGTTTGTTATGGGCAATCATTAACATTTGTGTAAAACTTCGGTCATGTTGGATCGAATAATTTTTTTTTTTTAAATGGCTTCTTTGCCATTTTTCAATAAATTGTAGCACGAAAACGTCACTTCTGACCGAAATGTTGTCTTCGAAACAAAGAATAGTACAAAGTTTCATGTAAATCGGGGATGGTCGAGTTCTTCTTCCGAGGAAGTAGGTCGCGCTGGAAAGTTGACACGTTTTTAATTTTGCTGCTGATTTTCATTTGGTGATTTTAACTAAAATCTTAGCATAATCATGCTAACAAACTTCCGATTGTTCAATTGTTCAAAATCTCATAGACAGGATCGAAATAGAGCAGACCATGGCGGATGATAAGTGAAAAAGGAAGATCCAGGAGCGGTGTTTGTTGGAAACTGTCTTAGCTGATGGGCAATGAAGATCCCAAGATGAATACGATGGTGTGAATCCAGTAGGCTTATAGTGATAGCGAGAGATGCTGGACTGTTGCATTTGATGCATCTCTTTCCGAGGGCTGGCAACGAGTAGCGGTTTTCCAAAATCAAGATCCAAGAAACTTTTCAGAACTGTATTCGGGAGCTTCAAGGAATATTCGGGTGAGATCCTTCCTTTTTATTTATTTAGTTTGTAACATTATGTTCCATATAAATTTCACTAATACAGTACTAAGAAAACAAATTGAGGAACTCGGCTAGCTTAGCGGCTGCTGCGTTTGCTTACTGTGCATAAGATCGTGGGTTTATACTCGAATTCCTAAAAAAAAACATCATATGCTTTTGGATGTATCGCCTGGTTGAGGAGTATCCTGACCTAATACCGTACCCCAACTTCGTAGTACTTATGAGGGTGTCACTAATTCGGTGACCTCTCGTTGAGTAAATACTACATCAACATTTCCTTTCCTATCACTAGTTACGGCAAATATAGGCACACAAAAGGAAAACTTCGTGAGTCATTGCGAGTTTTAGCGAACTTTTCCTGTATATTGATTAGATACCCGTTTTTTAGTTCATACACAAGGGATGATAGAACTAGGATTTCTTCCTCCTTTTCCTTTCTCCTGCGGCCTTTTATTCCATCTTTTTTTCTTTTCAGAAAGCGAGTAATGGCGCTATAACCATAAGCCATATAGGGCTAAGACAAGAGCTAGTGCTCATGTCCCAACCACTCGAGGAAAATGGAGCATCAATTAACTTTTTTAGATAAGATGCTCCCAACGACCAATCATTTATAACAACAGAACGTACGGTTCGAGATGTCCACGTTTCATCCATTTATTGGATTCTGAAGCATCGTGTTTAAATCATTGATTTAAATAGGCCCAATGTTTCTGAATCATCTTGCCCCTTAAATGCTGCACAGTAGGCCTGGCCGTTTTGATATATTTTGCGCATGTCTGATGTATAAAATATACCAAATAGACAAGAAAAAGGATGGAGGTATATCTATCATTTTCCAGGATGCTTTCATGAACTGGCTGTGTTTGTGTTAGATTAGATTAGATGGTCGAGTTGTTCTTCTGATTCGTCATTTGGCTCTGGCAACTGGTCTCAACGCAGTTATATAAATATGCCCATAGTTGATCTTTTTTCTAATACTTAAACCCTTTATATGGCAGTAATATCGTAATACCTTTTCAACCTCTGTTTTAGCTGGCGGAAACTTTTAACGTTTGGCAATACTATTCATTTTTTTTTTTACCATAAAAAATGCAAAATGAGAATGTGATAGCAATATTAATGTCAGTAAATAGCCAAATGTGATAGAAACAAAATTAAACTGCAATGATTTTATTCGTATTAATCATATTTTGATAAAATTTAAGCGAAAAGTAAGATCTTCGACTTCTTTCATTTATGATCAAAATTTCAGCTCTTTGCCTTCTTGTTCTTAAAAATATAGCAGTTTAAAAAGGTTCTCAAATAAGAAGAGATTTATAAAAAATTGCTCAAGCTGCCGACAGACGCACTCGATCAAGCTTAAAATTAAACAGATAAACCACAGACAAACAAACATAACACATTCAAATTTTTTAATATAAAACATCGACGCTAAAACACTACCGCCATCTGTTGAGTATACTGTAATGGGTAGTACGCTGAACAGATGGCGGTAGTGTTTAAGCGTCAAACGCAGGTGGCGGTACTACCAACTAAAAACATTTAAATTGACCGTTAAATGCGTGTTCGATGAACAAATTACCAGTGATGTCTGTTTGTCTATGGATAAACCATGAATATTTGTTCAATCAAAATTCAGGAATGTTGATACATAATGAAAAAAAATATATACCACTTTGTACATTTTTGAAGAAAATCCGAAATTGTAGGGGAAATGGATGTAATGTGGGCCTTAATTCAGCAATCGACTAAATTTTTAATAGCGACCAAAAATATCCATAAGTACCATACCATCCCAATGACACGTTCATCTAAATAAAATTGATAAATAACAGATTTTTAGCGATGGGCCCAATCTTAGATTCATAGGCCAACATTAGAGCCATTTCTCCTAACCAAATTTTTAAAGTTATTTTATTAAAAATAAAATTGTTTTTGATCACTACACCACGTGAACTTTATCTTTATAAGTATGTTTGAATAGACCATAAAAAAAAAATTTGTTGGTTAAATTAGCCCCATGGCGCATTTTACACCACTTCCTCGTGCAGAATAATAAGAGTAACTTACAATATGAATCAGAAAGCATTAAAAGAAGTATCGATCGTTTTTTGTCGTATTAGCTATTGGATTCTGATGTCTGTGTAAGGAAATATACAAAAAAAAAACAAAAAATGTCTCTGGGCACAAATTGTATCAAAAATCATGGAAAAATGTATTTTTTTTATACGAATAAATACGCTAAAATATTTAAATTTAACATTTTTTAAGAAATGTATACGTTAACATATGTAGGGTTTTTGATCTAATTTCCGTCCTACTAAGCACAACCCACACTTTACCTCTCTTTTCTGAACGAGTTTAAACAAAAAATGGAACATTTCTGTCAAAAATGACTTTTAAATTTATTCACCTTTCCATACGTACCGTTTGATTTGATAAAGAGTCACAAATTGTTGAGATATTGTTTAAAATCTAATACTGCTTCTTGAATCTAAATTCGTTCTACGAGTTTCAATTCCGTCATAACGCATTGAAACGCCATTAGATTTTCTTCGTCCTACGGATAGACGTAGAAAAAGGGGACTCGCTAGGAGTGCTTCTTTTATTTTGAGAACAATTCGCGTAAATATTCGTACAATGCACTCTAATAGGATTTATGTGGTAGCTAATGAACTAACGCATCGGAACAAACCTATTATTGATTTGAGCATGGTGAATTACGACGAAGTAGTGCTCTACCCTATCCTTAGCTTATCAATGACTTTTTCTCTCAACAAATTTCAACTGCTCTAGTCATTTATCATCTAACGAACCCTCGACATTTTTTTCGAAATGCTTTTAAAAAGACATAAAATCAGTTTATCAGGTGTATCTTAAATTAAATAATTTCAGCAATAAAACTAAACAGTTTGCTTGAAACACGCTGCAAATAATAAGAATTTACACATGGACGAAATATGGAGGGGGTGCGAACCAAAAAAGCCTCGTTCAATCAATGTGAATTATGAGGGTTGAGCACCGATAATAATTTCAAGGGAATCGCATTCCTATGTTAAAAATGGAATTTTTTTGAGGATTATTGAATGGCAAGGAACTGTCAGGAAAATACAAAGGATATTATGCGTAGCAGACCAGGGACAATTTTTCAAGGAAAATATCAAAAGAAGAGTTTCAAAAAACAACTACAAGCAAATATATTTTTTTTTTCAAACGCTTAAATGTAGCATAATTAACCATCGTTTTATGAGGTTTCCAACTGCCAACCACATCTAAAGTTTCCCATTACAAGCTTGCAAAACAACTTCCTTCACAGATCCTACCTTCAGTGCCCACAGAAGCACGATATCCATCACAGTAATTTTGTCCTTTTTCTTCATTGTGTATCGCTCCTATCTCCCAATATGATTCCCACGATCGGAAACCAACTTCCGGTACGAAACCGCTTCTGCTTCTTCCAAGTTTCTTCTCCAACCAATTCCACGTCTGCTTAAGCCGAGCAAAGAAAATAACATAAAAACCGCAACGAAATCTTGCACTTTACGGTTATCCTACTATGACTAACTCTTGATGATACCACAACACTTGTGCGAATTCCGCCCACCCCCACTTTCACTCCCATGTAGCAGCTCCTCCATGCACCATGTAATCTCACATAATGCCGGGTTTCATCGCCGTAGCATGTGTATATTCCTCTTCATCTGCTTCTTCCCCGTTTCAAACGCACGCACCGCCACTATACAGGGGGAATTAATTCTTTCCTTTTCCAGAGCTTACATGAACTCAAAAAACCATCACCGCCTGCAACGGCACACTTTTCACACATTGACTAACGAGCCCCGTTGCATCGTACACATCTCATCACGACGAGTGGCACATTTTATTCACATCTCATCCACTTGAACTCCGGTGACCTTCTACAGTGGCCGACGGTGGCACAGGTTAACGAGAAGCCATTGCACCATCATGCTGCTCTTTAGCTCAACAGCGATACGATGGGAACTCTTATCTTATTTCACAATACAACACTCTTCAACTCTCTGATGTGTAGTGTAACAGCAGTAATGAGACAACAAGTACCATTCATCTCTGTCGGGGGATCATTCACCACTCACTATCTTCTCCGAAAAAGAAAAACAATCCTGCGTCGAACGAAGGCTACGACAATGCCGACCGGAACGGAAATGCACTCCACGCAGAGCTCCGGGACATGCACTAACAATAACAACAACACGAAAAGAACAGCTACAACGGAAGTTTACATCCAGCCAAGGTGTACTGCTGTGCGCGAAACTTGTCGCGAGACGACCGGCGATGACCTACAGACCGAGACCGATCGGGCTTGTTCCTCAACAACACGCAGCAGCTTCGCGCACTCTCTCGCTTTCTCTAGACCCCGGAGAGGGGCACACATCGACCGGACCGTATCAAAAACACTAAACCACCGCACCGCACACGTATCACGTTCAGGCTTTCAGTGAGGATTGAACTTCAACTCCTCAACAGCTCTCGACGCACGCGAGGAGCACAGCAGAAGAAACCAAGTATGTACACGATCGGAGTACCCGCGCTCTCTTGAACATACTGCTGCTGCTGGCTGGCTGCACAGTATACAAACGACTTACTCCGGCCGCCACTGCAGCTGTTCCTTTCCTCTGATCGTCCAAATTGAACCAGCCAGCGCCGACCATCCGTTCCGTGTACAGAGAGCAGAGCAGCTCAGTGATGATTTCTTGTTTCTGCTTCTTCTCCACGCGCGAGTCTTAACAATCTTTCTTTTGTTTGCCGGTGTGTACACTTTTGTCAATGATCGTAGCCAACATGATGACGATGATGATGATGGAAGAACCACAAAACAAGCAAAGCAAAATCAGCGGAAAAGGAAAACATAAAAGATGTGTCAAGAGAACACAGGAAAAAAAAACAACAGTACCTAGCAAATCCTCCTAGCAGGATTGGAATGGATCATTTTGTGATGCAAAGATTTTTATTTTTTTTTTCATCGAGAATTCCCAATAATTGTAGAGCACTTTTCTCGTTAGATTGATATTATATAAAAAATTTGATTTCTTCGTTTTAATTTTTTTCCACGAAAATCATTTGAAATCCGTTGGGGAATTATTCTTACAGTTACAAAGGTTTTTTTTTGTAGGATCCAAATCCGAATGAAAAAAGCCATTTTCCGAATTTATGAAGGGCTATGTAAGTACCTCCCAAGTAACAAGTTCCGGTATATTGGAGTCTTATAAGTAGCTAAAGTCCAATCATAATTTTTTTTTGTCCAGCATATTGTTTTAACATCCTACTGAGGACTGCTAAGCATTGGCGACGGATTTTTTGAACTTTAGGCAGACATGTGAAGGATTTTAATATTGAATATTATGATTTCATATTCAAGCATTGCAATGCAAAGTCTTGAACATGTTGATTATGAATAATGTAGCAATATTTGTTTTGTTTTGTTTTGAAACAATAACGAAAATAGTAACTATGGGGACTATAGGGACTGTAAAACAAAACAAAAGTTACCAAAAGTGACATTTATTGATCGGAAAGATATGAAAGATATGGATCCAATCTTTCGTTGATTGGCACCCACTTGAGGGTTACTTCCACTCACTTACTATAAAATATATTTTTCCTAATTATGAAAACATTAGATGTTATAATGATAATAAGAACTTGTAAGTTACAAGAAGAGGACGTGAAGTATGTGTTTGACACATAAAACCTGTCAATATTGCTTTCAGTGCGTCACAATTAGCGATTTAACTCTGAGTGAACGCTCGCGAATCATAAGATTGCTGATTGTGACGCTCTGAAAGCGAAATTGACAGGTTTTATGTGTCAAACACATACTTCACGATCTCTTCTTGTTACTTACAAGTTCAACATATCTTTATATTATGTATTGATTTCCTAATTCCGAAAAACATTTTTTATAGCAGCTGAGTGGAAGCAACCCTGACCCACTTTGATAAATATTATAAACTAACCACCCACCATGAATATTTTTCAAGTTTATTTAAAGTAATACAAATGGTTGAAGGATTCAATAAGTTGTCTTCGTAAAATCAGAATTAATTGAATAATCAATAGGTTCATTAACTCACACAGTACTAATTGATCTGCCTCGAAATTTTCGAAACAATCCATTTACTAAGTTAAATTAAGATTAAGATCGCGAATTGGTTATTAGAAAGAATTTCGGGATGTGAAAAATTGAACACAGAAACTTATAAGGAAATCTTAGACTTGAGAAAAATTGAGGTGCAGAGAAAAATGCTCAAAGTTTCGAACATAGACACATTTTGACAATTTTATGACCAGCAATTTTAAAGATCTCGGATATGGAAACTTCTGTAAAGAAAATTTTCATAACTACGGAACTCAATATTCTGGAACGAGAAAAAATGTTCCACTTGGAAAGATAACATGACATGTAGGGTAGATGTACCAGTAATGGCTATACGTTCCTATTATGGTGTGTTCCAATTATGGCCTATGGGAATTCCATAGGCAATAACTGGAACACACCATAATAGGAACGTACACCTGGTACAACTGGTACACCTTCCCTATTTATGATTTAAAATCTCGATCTTGAAAAAAGTGGCAAGATTCTGTGATAAATTTTAGAGATATTGGACTTTTTAATGTTGGGACTTAGAAATTCGCGATCTCTAATACAAAGAAATTAAGAAAGCCTGGAATAATTTTCGATATGTAAGAATGTGGAGAAATATTTAAAATATTTCATGATCTTGGATATAGATTTTTTTTTCTAAGATCTAAGCTGGAAAATTTATTGACTTAAACTTTTCGATGTTAGGACAGATACTAAAGTTACCGGGCTTCAAATAATGTTTAAAATTCAGATTTTTGAAAAAATGATACGAGAAATGCAAGGAAATTTCAAAGACAATCTTAGATAATTAAAAAAAAAATATTCTCTGAATTTCAAGGGAAGTTCCTAAAAAAAATCTGAGAATTCGCTAATATTTCGGGATGTGAAAGATTGAACACAGAAATTTATTAAGAAATCTGGGACTTGAGAAAAATTGAGATGCAGAGAAATATGTTCAAAGTTTCGAACTTAGACACATTTTGACAATTTTATGACAAGCAATTTTAAAGATCTCGGATATGGGAACTTCTGTAAACAAAATTTTCATAACTATGGAACTTTATATTCTGGAACGAGAAAAAATGTTCCACTTGGAAAGATAACATGACATGTAGGGTAGATGTACCAGTTATGGCTATACGTTCCTATTATGGTGTGTTCCAATTATGGCCTATGGGAATTCCATAGGCAATAACTGGAACACACCATAATAGGAACGTATGGCCATAACTGGTACACCTACCCTATTTATGATTTAAAATCTCGATCTTGAAAAAAATTGCAACATTCTGCGGTAAATTTTAGAAATATTGGACTTTTTAATGTTAGGACTACGAAATTCGCGATCTCTAATGCAAAGAAATTAAGAAAGCCTGGAATAATTTTCGATATGTAGGAATGTGGAAAAACATATAAAATATTTCATAATCTTGTATATAGATTTTTTTCTAAAATCTAAGCTGGAAAATTTATTGACTTAAACTTTTCGATGTTAGGACAGATACTAAAGTTACCGGGCTTCAAAGAATGTTTAAAATTCAGATCTTTGAAAAAAAAAAATGATACGAGAAATGCAACGAAATTCCAAAGACAATCATTGATAATTAAAAAAAAAATTCTCTGAATTTAAAGGGAATTCCAGGTAGATCAAAATTTCAAGGGAAGTTCCTAAAAAAAATCTGAGAATTCGCTGATATTTCTGAATAGATTTTCCAGACATTTCTCGAGAATCATGTGAAAAGGGCCTTTGTATCAAATGTAAGTAATGGCTATGCTCATGATTGGAACTACAATTGCTTACAATTGCAACCTCGTGAGAATTGTTAAGAATACCAAGATAATTGTAGATTCTAAGAATTTCCAAGAGGGGGTTCCAAAAGTGGTATACAGATAATTTTGAAGGCTTCAAACATTTCAATGGAATGCCAGAGGGAATAATAACAATATACAGGGGAATCTAAGGAAAAGCAAATCTGCAGACATCTTGGAATGTTTCTAAGAAAATTCTCAAAAAATTTCAAGAATATCCAACGAAGAGTTACTGTAGAAAATATCTACTCAGATCTCAGAGTGTCCATGACAATTTCCAATCTTCCTGGAAGACTTTTTATAAACATTCCCTGTAATATGTGCGACATAAAATTTCCAAAACTTCCAGGAAGTCCCAAAAATAGTTCTTAGAAGTTTGTTGAATGTCTACAATATTCCCTGAGCACTATACCTCACTAAGTTCACTAAGTTTTAACAAAGTTGACCGAGGTTCTGTTAAATTCCCTGAACTTTTACAAAATTCAAGTTTATTCGCTTAACTTCCACAAAGATCGCTGAACTACTATAAATTCGCTTCACTTCTATTAACAGGACTGGTAGTGCTAATACGATATAATAGTAGTGACTTTAGTGACTAAAATTACGGAAATAATGACCAAATAGTGACTTGTAAATACTAAATAAGTAACCATTTATATGGTTACTAAGAAAGACAAATACGGTTTGATATTTAAATAAACTTTTTATGTCATGGAACTTAAAATCAAATTTTATAAATTCCTCTAATTTAATCGAATCTACTGTGAAGAGCATTTGAAGAGATTTCAATAATTTACTTTTGATTACGTTGTTCATGATGAATAGTAATTCCCATTTTTTTATGATCTTGAATTTGATTCTGCGTTCGAAATCTTTAAATATTTGATATATCTAGGTAAATAACTTTCATAATTTGCTATGAACTTTTCACAGAATTTCTTCAGAATGATCTCAAGAACTTTTTTAGAATAATTCCCCTTCTCTTAAACTTAGAGGCTAATAATAATAAGCCATTACAAACAAAATATTGCATTCTTGAAATTCTTTGCAGAACAATCAACAAAATTCTTAGAAATAGATTATTTTCGTAGTTGGAAATGCTTAACATCAAATATCAGGATTAAATGGGACATTTTATACGATAGACGAGGAGATGAAAGTAAAGAGTTTATAGTTCCGTTATAGTGTGGCAGTGTGAAATGTGTGTATAGAAAGTAGAAAGCGAACAAAGGACAATTTTGAGGAAGGTACGAATAGGGTAGAGCATCTCCTTTACCTAGCTCATCCGTTAATGAGGGATGGTGAGGGGTGTTTCCTCCTTGCCACTACTGGCAAAAGGGATGATCGCCGATTTGCTCATGTACCTCTGATGTCCGGAAACAGCTCTACCGTTTGTTTCACGCTCAAGTCGCCATCTGACGTAAACACCATCTACCCGATTCGTACCTTCCTCAAAATTGTCCTTTGCTCACTTTCTACTTTGTGTATACAATTTTCATACTGCCGTACTATAACGGAACTATCAACTCTGTAATTGAATCTCCTAATCGATCGTATAAAATTTCCACTTTAGGTCTGATATTTGACGTT